CATAAACAATCCATGTAAGGTAAAGACATTGAGAATATAGTTTCACCCAACATTTGATCTTGCTCAAATATCAAGGATTCGAAGATCTAACATATGATCTGTAATGAGTAATTAATTTTTATTTTAATATTCTGTGTAAACAGTGTAATATTCTGGGTAAACATTGTAGTTTATAAAAAATATATTTTATTAAAATATTATGTGTAAACAATGTAATGAGTTTTATTTATAAAAAAACAATATATCTTACCCCTCAGTTTTTGGATAAACCGAGAGGTATAAGGCGTTGTTTTAGTAAATAATAAAAATGCAGATGTTGGGGTTTGAACCCATGATCATATAACTTTACCCCTTGGTTTTTCTTTATCTGAGGTGTTAAGTGGCATATTTTCATGTCACCCTTCGTTACATTGCCTAGGTATCTGAGGTTAAATCTCTCTCACATGCGATGTTATAAGCATTATTTATAGTAATGTATAAATGACATGATCATGAAGACATAAGATGGGAAAAGCCACGTTGCAAACCTGAAGAATATCCTGGATAGATCCATATATGGATAAGTGTCAAGCCATCATTAACATGAGGAATCCACAAAGTGTTAAAGAAGTTCAAAAACTTACTATGGGTAGCCCTAGATCATTTTCTTTCATGTGCAAGTGACAAGGCATTCCATTTCTTTGATAATTTGAAGAAGAATGAAAAGCTCAAATTGGAAGGCGAGTGAGAAGAATCATTCTCTAACTAAAAGTCTTTCTTGGCACCGCTTCACATATTGACACACCCGGTGATAGGTTCGCTCCTCTTTGTGTAGCATTTTATTACTGACCAGGGCGATTGGCTCAATACTCGTATAAGATTATGACAAAGTTAAGAAACATGTATATACTGTAAGCAAGTTTCTCAATGGCATTAAAGCAAGATACCAAAAGATTTAAAGGCTCGCCTTAGAGGTCATGATAACTACGAGGAAACTCATACCCTACTTTCAAGGACATCATGTGATGGTAAAAACCAAATATCTTATTCGAAAAGCATAAAATCCAAGTATGATATCCAATACATACTCAAAGGAAGTATAAAATCCAAGTGCTAGCTAATTTTATGGCAGAGTTGAGCTCGTCCATTGGAGGGGAGATTATCCCCACGTTGATATCATCTATAGATGGTGCCTCAAACCTTAAAGGCAGTGACACTTAATAGTATTAGAAGAACCATATGACCTCATAATCGAACAGTCGCTAAGGTTTGAATTCAAGACTAGTAACAACCAAGTTGAGTATGAAGCTCTCATCGCCAATATGATCCTCACCCTTGAGATGAGTGTTAAGTGAAAATTTTGACTTAAATTGAACCATATTTCCTGGCATTTTTCAACTCAATTCTCATGTTTTTATAGATTTATTTCTTGTTCTTGTGTTATTCTTCAATTATATTGCAAATACCTTTGGATTATTTGATATGTGTTATTGTGCAGAATATAGGCATAAAACATCAACGATTAAGACACAAGTGAAGTGGACAAGCACTACAAGAAAATTGGCAAATTGCGACGGTTCATTTTGATAGATTACGACGGTTTTAACCGTCGCAATTTGTAAGTTACGACGGTTTCAGTCCCGTAGCGAAAACGTACGTCGCGAGGCCGTATTGCGACGGTTGTGAAAATTATCGTACAAACTGTCGTTATTTTCACGACGGTAGCTAACTGTCGTAATCTCCATATTGTGACGGTTTTCAACCGTCTTAAGTTGCAAATATTTTTTAAAAAATATCTATGGTATATTGTGGCGGTTTGAACCGCCGCAATTTGTAAATATTTTTAAAAAAAATCTATGGTATATTGTGGTGGTTTGAACCGCCGCAAGTTGCAAATATTTTATAAAAAAAATTGCACTCAGTATAGGATTCAGAATACAACTATTGTAGGTTACATTAATGACAATTATCAATCTTCATGATATTCACACAATAAACAATATCCCTATAGTTACTTGTCCTTATGCTATCCACAGACTTTAGAGCATCTCCTTCTACAGCACTTCTATGGTAAGGGCAGCTTACCTTGTTATCACACATATGACTAGTTGATGCCCCTTGACTACCCTCAATTCTAGAAGCTGCCAGTTGAGCAAGACTTATTTTACGCACATTCTTCTGACGATTCTTAGTAACCTGCTTGGTTGTCTTTTGTGGCTGGTCAACTTTGAGAGGTTTTGAGGATTTCAAACTCTTCTTCACCCACCATGTTTCATCATCACCTGGAACAAATGAGCTTCTTTCCTCACGGCGTATAAACTTCTCTAAATTCTCCATTAAAAGTTGTTCAAAAGCTTGGTGATTTTCTTTGTGAACATCTTTGTAACCATACATGTCGATATTATAAATGTTCAGATCAGACATATAAGATAACAAAATATTTTAATGACAAGGAAAGTACTGAGAAAATTACTAAACATGATAGTCTCATAAAAAATATTGTATTTTCATGAGCTAACAGACTACCAAAAAGAGTGGCTAATATATCTGTAAATTTTCCCAATATTACATCACTAACTTATTCCTTTGAGATATTTATTTAAGCTATAGCATTTTTAAATGTTACTAAGAAGTATTATGGACTTGTAGCACTTGTTACCTGGAAATACAATGAAATAAATGATAGCTTCTCTGTCAAACTCGTCGAAATAGAAACCTTTCATTTTGAGGCACCATAGCAACCAGAACAAACTTGATACTCACAAATATAACTGTGGAGTGTATTGCTAGAAGTGTAGTTAGAAAATGCCCAAAAATTCCTGGAATTCCTTTGACCAACTCATTATAAAGTAGACCAATTCCAGGAACTCGTATTGTCCCAAGATTGCAGCCCAATTCTCGCATTAAATCCGTCAACAGCTTTTTTTGGACTTCAGTTTCATACTTGAGCTTGCTTCCATAGTTCCAGACGAACATTATAAAAAACATTATTGCAGCAAAGACCAATATAATCCAACTTCCATCTGTTATTCCCCACAAAACGGATGAAAAGAAAACCAACTCCAAACCCAAGAATACTACCAGGAAACTCAGCACTACGATGATGTGCATCTGCCATATAAGAAGCATAACGAGAGTGACTAAAATGGTGGTCATCATCATTACCGCTAGTTCAGCAATGTCTGAAAGATGACAAAGGAATAGGCTGAAAACAAATACTCTTTTATGTTATGTTAATAGTATATATGATATATTACAACAATATTGAAGGTAGAACCAAAGAATTGGGTCCTCTTAAACAAGGCTCTGTCTTGCCTCCATTATTACTATTCTTCCACTATAGTCAACGGCATCCAAAGAGAAATATTAAGAGTGAATTTAAGTGTTTTCCAATTAATAGCAGCACCATAAGTTTCGCAAGAACCTATTCTACATAGTCAATCCCACTAAACTTATGGCATCACTTACATTTCCAATCTCATCAATGCTGGATATAGAGCAGACAAACACTATAGAAACAACCAACAGGAACCAGTTTATAACAGGAATGTAGATTTGAACCATAAACTTCCGAGATGTGTGAATTTTTTTAAGACGCGGGAAACAACCAAGAGCAGTTGACTGTTTTATGCAAGAAAATGTAGTTGTTGTCATAGTCCTACTTGCAATAAGTGCAACAATATTAGCAATGAGAAAAGTTGGCCAGAACACACCACCTATAGACAAAGAACAGTATTACACCAAAGCTTATGTGAAGTGTAGAGACATTATAAGGAATGCAAAACACAAATATACACACACTGACACCTACTTGGAATAGAAGAAAAAAAAGGCCTCGCCAGCATCAACATGGTGTTCCATAAGGTATGCAGCTTGACCCAAATAACCCAATAGTAGGCACGACAAAACAAGGAACACAAATGTGAGCTGCAAAAAAACCAGCATCAGTTTCATCAATGTATAATTTGATATGACCAAAGAAATAAATGAAGTCTAACCAGAAGCCATGATAGATGATTCATTACCTGAACTGCTCCAACAGAAAAGTAGCAAAGATCTGCAAACATGGCTTCAGAGCCTGTAACATTATCCAATGACAATGTTAATTGATAGTGGAAAGATTTGTGCATGTCAGAAATAGTTAAATGTAAAATGCATATTTACCACATCATAATATTAAGATATTGGTATACAAAAAATTAGTCTATGTTTAATTATGTATTTAGTGGTGGGGTAGAATGGGATGGATTAGATGGAGCGAAATGAAATAAATCTCCATATAGTTGTCCGGATATTTTTGTATGATAAATAGAGTAAAGCTTTCATTCTATTGTTTAAAAGGTGGACCGGTTGACAACAAGAATAATAAATATCATACCCCAAGAAAAGCAGAGAGAGATAGAGATGGTGGATGAAATAGTATGCAATGTGTTCCATAAGAACGGGAATAGAAGTATAGAAGGTAATCATACTCTTCAACTGATTTTCCTGCATCTGCTGCAATGATGGCCTGTATGAAAAATATTATAACAAAATCAGGAAACAAAGTGATTTCAAAACTAGGTGCCGGACCAAGGGGGTACATCAAGGAAAATGATACATGTGTTGTGCATAATTGGAGAAGCATAAATCTGTAGGGAAGTTGATTACCTTTTCAGCCTGCTCAGCTAATTTACGAGCATGATCAGCGTGTTCAACTCTTCTCACGTCATTGTACAATTTCAAAGGGAAGGTAGCAACATCACCAACGACATATACATCAGGAACACTTGTTTTGAAGAAGGAATCGGTCTGCAACCACAACAAATGCTATCATTGATTGATATCGATATTAAGATTAACTAATCACAACTTAAAGGGTTTACTAAAGCTTGATACAAGCCTCTGGATATGGAATCACTAACCTTGATTCCACCATTCTGCTCATCAACCTGCCCTTTGAATAAGGATATTAGAGGCCTTCCTGCAACACAAACAACAACAATATCTGCTTCCAGGACCCTACCATCCTTTAGTTTAACTTATTTTACCTGACAGATGCATGAAAGTCAAGTTAAATTTGATTAAGAATTTTAAAACACCATTACATGACAATATTCCAAGATCACATGCAACCATACCTCTCCATCGGAGTTGGAAGTGAATCCAATAGCAACTGTCCCTTTAATGATATTGATACCTTTATTGGCATAATATCCCTCATAGAAAGAAGCAATTTCAGAAGTAAAAAGTCTTGGCACTGCAATATTGGTTTTAAAAAGATTAGTTTAAAAGTTTAGTATGCACAGATCAATGTGAGTGAGAGATGTAACAAGAAACATTTATAAATGTCCACTTACTACACCAAGGTTCTGGGTAGACCATGGTAACATCAACATTATTGAGTTTCAAAACTGCACTCAACTCCAATGTATCCTCCTCCGACAACCACAGCTTTTCCATTCTTCTTTGCTTTGATTGCCTCATACAATTCGTCAGCATCATCAACCTCCCTCAAGTAAAATATATTTTTGGCACCAGCTCCTTCTACACCGAAATCTGACAACTTTATAACCTGCGAAACAAAATTATTAGTATTAGTATTAGTTTGCACTAAACGGATGTGAAATATGTACACGCAATGTGGAACATCTATAATATTAACAAGAAGCCTTACAACCGAGCCTGTTGTGATAACCAAAGTCTGGTAATCGAAGTGTTCTCCTTTTTCACTTTTCAGAAATTTTGCAGCAAGGTCTGCACTTACAATTTATGTATTGAGATACAACTGTATCCCTGCAATCATCAGTTTAATTTGCAATTCAGTATCAGATAACCATTGTTAATAACAATTCTTATATTTACTTATCTCTTCCTTTAACTTGACACAATAACCCGATAATTATTCTGAAAATAATCCAGTTATAATGCCGAATTAAAATGATGTGTTGAAAACCAAAGTTACCTTTCTCACTGTACCACTCTGGAAGCAATCTTTCTCCCCCACTTCCAACACAGGTATGGAACCCTGGAAGCCTAGCAGGAGCTGCAAAAATCCAATTAACATTAAGTTAAACATTGAGAGACAAGCAGTGCAAGCTGCTACTGAAACTTCAATGAAACATTCATCAAAGATAACAACTAAGGATTAACAACAAAAACAAATAAACATAGCCATCAATACAACAACAACACAACCAAGTCTTATCCCACTGAGTAAGGTTAGCTACATGGATCAAATCAAACAAAGCCATAATATTGGGTCATATTATATATCATATCTCTATCCAACTCATAGCCTTCTCTTATAGTTTTGATAGGTTTTCCTCTGCTTTTAGAAAGTTGACTACCCTCCATCTGACTTACTCTCCAAACAACATAATTTTTGGGTCTTCTCTCCACATGCTCAAACCACCTAAGTCTAATTTCCACTGTTTTTTCTTCAATGTGTTACCCAAATTCTCTCTCCAATGTTGCAGCAGCTTTCTGAATCAAAGTGGGTTGCATGGCTCTTCTTTGGCCATACTCTAGTTACTCTAGTTACTTACCTAATTATCTCAGCATTGACCATACTCTAGTTACTTACCTAATTATCTCACTATTGACCATACTCAAAGTCAAGGAACAAGATGGATGCAGTTGAACATGTTGTCCAATTTGCGCTACTTCATAACCAAGTTGATTGCGTCCAGAAAACATGGCTACATTTTCAGAAAGTGGGGCCAGTATAACCTTTTTCATGTTCTTATCATGAACAGAAGGTGTATGAGGATCCCAACGCCAGTAACTTGGAACAACAAAGCCATGTTCACGCTCTAGAAAAGATTCTAACTCGAAAACTGTGTCTTGGCATCTCCTCATAGATTTAGCATTGATACTATTTTCCCAACACCACTTATTCCTCCTCTCTCGAGGCAGAGCCTCCCATTCTTTGTACACAGAGAGAAGTGTAAAAAGGTCACCATCAGAATGGCAAAATTGCACTTTGAGGCAATCAGATCTTTGCTTATCTCCTTCATTACCAAATCTGCAAAATATGTTACTAGCATTGGGCATCATGGCAGCAAGGACAACACCTTTTCTGCCCAGAGCAAGTTGGAAACAGCCAAGAATAAGTTTACCATGCCTAGGTTCAATCCCCATTCTTGCCAAGTACCTACCTTCATAAGTTAGCTCATGAACATCATTGTGTTTCACCCTAAAATTTGCTCAACCTGCTTCACTTGGTTTATGTTTCAATTGCATTGTCATTTGCATATTAGGTCATGTACATAATTAGTTCATCTGCATAGCATAGCATAGCAAGTCATCCAACAAGGGACCAAGTACTATTCTTATCTCTATGAGCCTATCAAGAGGTTCTTATTCAAATTCAACCTCATCCAAGTCATCAGAAAGAAATTGAAATCTAAGAAGTCAGTGGATCAAGTAGTGGATTTCTCTCCTATCTTGAGTGTTTTTGAAGATCATCAAAGAAGTTGTGAGCTGTAGATTGAGCATGGAGGATATATAGACATCATGGAGGACCTATAGGGCCATTTTGAAAGAGAGACAAGTCATTGATGTGATCACAAGAGTTGCAGTTGAAGACAGTCAACTAGGGTTTCATCTGGGTCAACCCTAGGTCAACCCTAGGTCAAATGATTGATTGAAAGGCACCAAGGTCTATTTGAAAGATGTGGGGTTCATCATTTGACATGTAGATAAGGATGTGGTGTTGTGCCAAGGAGAAATCAAGAGAAATCAAGAAGAAGAGAGATTTCTAAATAAGGGTTTCTGTGTAAAATCCCCTGATTTAGGACAAACTTCCAAGCAAGATAATTCAAAATTCAAGCTTCAAATGGATCCTTGACCAACATGAAACTTGTAGAGGATATCAAGACCTTTAATTTGAGTGGTGGAAGACATCAAGTAGATTTATAGAACTCAAGTTATGGTTCTTGCAAGTTACAGGTCATCTGAGGTATCTGAAATTTTGTCTGTGAAAGTTACTTGTCTTCCAAGTAACTTTTACCCCTCAAGGAGCTTTCAAATGGATTTCTGGTAAACATGAGAGTTGTTCCTCAGTGTCTTAGATTTATATAAAGGTATGGTATGCCTTCATTTGATTTATGGAACTCTACTTATGACCTTGGCAAGCAAAGGGTATTTTGGTCATTTGAGAATTACAGGTCATTTCAAGCATATGCCTAAAACTCATACAAGGAAGCTTCAAATGAAAAACTTCACAACATCAAAGTTGTTCCAAATGACATTTTGAGTTTAGAAAAGTGGTCATGGAAGTTGGAAAATGCTCATAGCTCATGATTGCAAATTTGGTCAATTAAAAGGTGAATTTAATGAATAAAAGTGACCTAAAAATGAGATTTTTCATAACATGTCCAAATGTGATGAAATTATAGGTCATTTTGATTGGGAAGAATGTTTTAAGACCATTGGCAATAGTGTATTTTTGAGTTTAGTTCAGAATTTGGAAGTTATCATTGGTTGCTTATGTATGAAGTTACACATGCCAAAACACAAGGGATTTGTGCACAAGAAGTTTCTAACAAGTTCTAGAGGGTTCCATGAGCATCTATATATTGAGTAGAGTGGATCCAAACATGGTTTGGTGATTCATTTGGTTGAAAACTCATAGTTACATCTCATTCCTCAATTTTGCAAATTACACAAAAACTCTATCAAATCTTCATCATTCTTCAAAATTCTTGATCCTATCATCATCTACATTCATCATAGAGCAAGTTTCCATCAAGATCTGGTTGAATTGAAGCAGAATTCGTGTGCTACCAACTTCATCATCCAAAGTGCAAGAAGGATTCAATTGCAAGATCAAGAGCATTTGAGCAGGTGTTGCTGCATACAGAACCAAGATCCAAGTCCATTGATCAAGTCCAAAGCATTGCAAGCTGTGAATCCAAGAGATCATCCTTCTGTTTTCAATTTTTCACCAGGTTAGTTTTTCTATCGAATTGGCTAGAATTAGTTAGCATGATGTAGAATCATTAGGTTAGAACTGTTAGGCATAGGTAGATGATCATTTCCAATGAATTTGAGAGCTTTCCATGGAGTTTGGTACATGAGCACAAAAACTGTTTTGACCTAGAACTAAGAGGATAGAGAGTGTTAATTCATGTGGATTAGTTTAGAATGATCAGGGATGTGTGGTGGTTACACTAGTACCAAGAAATTGGAGTTTCATGAGAGTGGAAATTGGAGTGTTCATGGAGAGGAAGCTATCGGGTTTGATTCTCTAGGTTGTTACAGCAAGAATTAGTGATGTATTATTGTTCAGCTTGAGAATTAGAGCAATTTTGCTTTTTATGGATTTGAATTTCATGGAGAAATGAAGTTGTATGAGAGGGTGGAAGTCTGGTTCATGCAAGCTCGCTCATGGCTCAATCATGGTGAAACCCTAGCTCGTTGGAGAAGAAACATGATGAGCGTTGGATCATTCACAAGACTTTGACTCAGAAACGCATCCAATGGCCAGGATTTGAAGTTGAAAACGAGAGGGAATTCAGAAACGTGAAACGCACCGTTTCACTTATGTCTTCAGACTGGGCTTAAGTTGCTAATGCTAATCACACCCCTAGTTTCCAGGCCCATTCATTTTTGAACTAACATAGTTACTATTTGCACCGTTTTCATTTTTTATTTCCTTTTTGTGTTTTCTGATCAAACTGGGCCCAGACGCGCCTTGCTACGCGCACCCCCAGTCTGGGCCCATCATCCATTTTTCAACTGAAATCACTACTAACTGCACCCCTAACCAATTTTAAATCATTTTAATTTCTTTTATTTTTTGTTAATTGTTTGAAAAATCATAACAAATTGAAAATTCCATATTTTTAAGTGGTTGTTTTTGCATCTTTTTTATATTTCTGTTAAGAAAATTGTCATATAATAAAATTAGCATTTTATTTTATTTTTGCATTTTTAGTATATTTTTCTTTTAAATAGGTTTTAAATGATGTTTAGTTTAACACTTGATCTTGTTGATTTTAGTTTAGCTAGATCCTTTTATATTTTGGACCCATTCTTTTTAGAGTACTTCACTTAGGACTTTAATTTTCATGAGATTTAATTCATGATTTTAGGATTAAATTTTAGATGGTTTGTTTAGGTGTGATTAGGAGAATCAAAATTAGGGTTTAGATATAACTTAGGTGTAATAAATCATTTCTTTTAGGAGTTGTAGTTTGAATTTTGGGGTATGGGACTATAGGGGTATTATGGGTAAATAATAGATCCCTTAGAAAATATTAGACTTCCCCTATTCTACTATTACTAATAGTATATTTCCTGTATTGGCTTGATTGTGTGGTGTGCCCTCTCTAGGGTTATTTGTTTGACTGTGTGGGGTATTGGGCTTGTTTGGGGCTTGGGTTTGAGCTGAAGACTGTGCTGATGAAGCCCATTGAAGACTAAGAGAATGAAGACCAATTCCCAGAGTTGATGAA